AGTGAGTGCAATTATTTAGTCTCCCTCTTCTGCAAATGGCGTTCTGTGGCAGCGAATAGTCAAGGGCCGCCCTCTGGCCTTTTGCTCATACCTCATGGAGCGCAGACAGTTGCACTGTTGGGTTTGAGTGTGGTGGGTGTGGTAGGATGTGGTTTTCATATCAGCGTGAGCCTGGTACCATTTCTCTGCTATCAGGCCTCGTTTCCTTCCCTGACAGTTTTGTCCTCATTCTTCCCTCTAAGTACTACAGAGCTATCACTTCTACTCAGATTTGAGAGTAGAGAGTAGATGCTGGAAGATCTCATTTATCCAACAATATCACAGAGTTGGTAGCTTTTTTGAGATGCATCTACCTGACCCGTATTTTCCTTAATAGCTGTTAGTTCATAAATAGTTTTGGAAGGCATGGCAAGCTGTTTCTTCCCAATGAACCCAGTCAACCCAATCATCTATAACTGTGAATGAAATCCAACCTTATTCTTTAATATTTATTTATAGTTGAGACCTAGGATTTTCTGAGTGTAGTTCACAACTTCATTTTCATTCACCGTCGAAATTATCTGTGGACTCCAACCCTTGGAAGGGATCATGCTGTCTCAGTTGGAGGGGTCTAGGTATAATTTCATAAAACCTCGTTTCTCATGCTGCAGATACACTGTGTTCATGATCGATACTGTTGTGATTTGCATGTAAGAGATTTTGTCTGTCATTTGGTGTCTCTAACATGCTTTCTTTTCAGGGTGACAACAAGAAAATGGAAGATGCTAAATTCTACCTGACCATGCCTGGAACCAAGGTAGAGATGGAAGAAAAAGAACTGCAAGCATCCAAAACCCTGGCCAACTTTACCCCCGCCAAGGATAGCACAAAAGATAGCTTTCAGATTGCCACCCTCATTTGCTCTACAAAGCTCACTCAGAACGGTGGGTGTGGTGACCGCAGTGACACCAGAATGAGTTTTCTGCTTGGTCCTGCTGGGCCCCTTTGTTAGTCTCAGGGGGCTGGACCATATGGGACCACATCTTCTGAGGTGGGATCCGGGGCACTTTGGATTCTGCTATTTGCCCTTCACATGATGTTCTGGGTGCTACTGACCAAATGGTTAAAGCTCCTTCTGAGGTTTTGTTGTCCATCTTTCAAACAGATGAAAAGCATTTGGGTTTTTTTAATATTGCAAAACCTGTAAATGTATTCATTAATAGGGCCTGTAAAATTAGAAAGCCTTATGTTCCCGTCCTTCAAGGCAGCAAAGAACTCTAATAATGTGTCCTGTATAATATACATAACATGAAATGTTGGTAATAAGGAGGAGGACACTGAGAAATATAGTCAATCTCCTGCTCAAACAGGTATGGCGAAGAGCAGGGACAGTGTCCTGTGGGGTTCCATCTGTCCCCCATATCGTCTCCTCTGTCCCTTTTTTTCCCAAGCAGTCAGGGATTTTTCATTAAATCTGCTGAGTAGTTCAAATGGGCATCATTTTGTCCCTACTTGAAATCTCGGATTACCAATTTTAACTTCTCTGGTGTATATCATGGTGTATATCATACACCAGAGAAGTTAAACATAGGTTAAATGAATTCATAACATAGGTTAAATGAATAACAGCTTCTCATTCATTTAACCTATGTTATGTGTCATGAATATAGTGAGCCAGGGGGCTTGTCCTAGAAATTCTATAGCCCCTGTGTTATAGCAGATTAATCTGTTTGGCCTCTTGGAGGATTTGGGTGAGGTACCTGGCAGGGGCTTTGCCTTAGAGAAGTGCTAAGATAGACAAAACAGTTTAGATATCAGACACACTCAAAGATCAGATGTTGGTTATCTTTAGAAGGGTCAGTATTGCTTGTTTTGATGAATCATGCTTGGCTAGAGAATATGGATAGTACTTCAACTTGGACAAGTAGCTGGACTCAACAGAGTGAAGTTCAGGGCTGATACATATGGGAAAGTAAAAGCACATTCACCAGAACTTAAGTCAGAAAAAGCCAAAACTGGAGACAGTATACAGATCTGTAGTTGCAAAGTACTGCTGGGGAGAGAGAGAGGGATGAATAGGCAGAGCACAGGGGATTTTTAGAGCAGTAAAACTGTACTGTATGATACTGTAATGGATACATGGATACATGTCATAATGCATTTGTCAGAACCGCAGAATGCACCACACAGGGTGAATCGTAACAGTAAACCATGGACTTAGTTAATAAACTGTATTAGTTGTAACAAATGCACCACACTAATGTAAGATGTTAACGGGGAGCTGGGGAGCAGTGAAGGGCTATATGGAAACTTTCTGTACTTTCTGTTTAATTTTTCTGTGAACCTCAAACTGCTCAAAAAAAAAAGTATATGAATAATAAAATAAGAACAAAACTTTAAACCAGATAACACTCTGAGCTTCAGAAAAGACATGACAAACTGATATCAGTGACATAACCCTTGTTAGGGAATAAGTAAATATAATAAAGTGCTGATATGAGGTAAAATGGTACAATGTTTATGGAAGATGATTTAGATACTATATCAAAGATTTAAAATATATTCAGACACTTAATCCAGTAATTTGATCCCTAGAAACTGAACCCAAGGAAACAATGAGAGATGTACACAAAGATTAATATATAAGAATGTTTCACTGTTATTCCTAAGAGAGGGATGGAAAAAATCTAAATGTCCAACGCTTTGGGTTAGTTTAAATTATATAGTATAATTAAATGATGAAATATATGCACCTGCCAAATATATTTCAAAACATAATCCAAGATGTGCAAAATTTTTAATACTATTGTATAATCCTAGTTTTGTTTAAATATATGAGGACAAATTGGAGCCCGTTGCCTGGGTTCAAATCCCAGCTCTGCCACTTACTAGCTCTATCATCTAAGGCAAGTCACTTGATCTCTCTGTGGCTGGGTTTCCTCATCTTTAAAATGGAAGTAATAATAGTATGTATTTCAGAGAATGCAGTAAAATAAGTAAAAGCAAAGCATCAGTGCCTAGCCCATTGTAAACGCTATGTGAGTGTTAACTGTTGTTATTACTCTCATCATCATTATATACACACAGAAAAAGACAAAAAAAAAAACTTCAAAAGTTTGGATAGTTCTAATTTTCTTCATTTTTGGCATTTTCTAAATTTCTAACTATGCAATGTCAAAATGTTATTTTTAAGTATGGTAGTAGATGATATAAATCATTAATGTACTTTTGAAATTTATCAAGAGATATTCAAGAGGGACGGCATTTATCAAACATCTAGTAGATTACTCTTCCCAGAGCCTAGAGTTCAACGAAAACAAGGATTAAAAGCTTGAAAATCAACTTTTAATACAAAGCAACTTTCTGTTCTATATTTCTATATTCCTGATATGATATCATTATATTATTTATCATCTCCAAGTCAAAAAGTTAGGAAGCTGATTGACAGGTAACAGTTCTCAACTTAAACACTTGATTTGCTGATACTTACATCACCGATCTAAATATTCTGAACCTGTGCTGCAGTCCTGCTATGACAGCCACTAGCCCCATGTAGCTTGCGAAATGTATGAATTCAACTCCTTAGTCTCACTAGCCTCATTTCAAGTGTTCTGTAGTTTCACACGGCTGATGACTTCTGTGTTGAGCAGCACAGATATGAAACATTCCTTTCATCACAAAAAGTTCCATCGGGTGGAACTGTACTCTTTTTCTTTGTTGTCATCTCATTCCTAGTGTTTCAAGCTCAAAAATACTTAACATACCAAAAAAAAAAAGTTGTAAATAATATCGTCTCCCATAGAAGGTTTAAGGAGGCAAACTTATCTAAAGCTGAGAGGAGGGATCTGCTGTCATAGTGGATAGAGGTAGGAAGAGGGGACAGATGTGGGGAAGATGGCAACAGAAGGACGTCACAAGCATCAGAGAAAACAGTATTCACAGGGACAGATAATAACTGTGGGTTGTTGATGTGTTTGCTTTCTTCTAATTTGATGGAAATGATAAGGAACCAGTGTAATTTATTCTGAGAAAAAAGAAGCCAATGAATATTAATAAACCATCAACCCCTGAGGGCGTTTTCCGATTGACAGTTTAGTCATTCTCCTTTCACACAGAGGCTGTGCCCAGAGGCATTTCTTTTTAGCCTTAGGAAGACTATTCAGACTTAAAAGGTTAAAAGCCACTGGCACTAGTTACAGACAGAGTTTCCAGACTCTGTATTTATTTTATTAATTTTCCCAAAAGTGGAACAGACCAATTTATATGGGATCATTTGTTGCTGGGCTCTTATGGAGGGTGAGGATAGATTTGTTGTTCCAGGAAAGGGAGAGGGGAGGTCAAGTTCCTGCAGGTGTGGGGCCCTGTGCCAGGCCATTCTCAGTCATCCAGCACTCAGCACATGAAGATGCCAGCACTGCCAGTATTAACCTCAGCCTACTGACCAAAGAACTGAGTTAAAGTGCTAAAATATTTTGCTAAGCTCATGAGTGGTGGTCTTGGGTCTGAGAATAGATATAACTCCAAAGCTTGTGGTTTTCTTTGTCTTTCTTTCCTTTTTTAAATGTTATGGTGCCTAATCCTCTCTCAGAGGCATTCACTACTCTAAATTTAGGGATTGTCATTCAGAGAATCCTAAATTCTTACATACTTCTGATGGGGATATAAACTGAGACAACTTTGGATAACGTTTGGATAATATCTACTATGAGTGAAGATGATCGATCATTCCTGATGATCCAGAGGTTTCACTTTAGTTTAATACTCCTAGGTACCAGAAGACAGATGAGAATGTTCATAGCAGAATTGTTTGCGATAGCAAAAACTGGAAATGTTTATCTACAGTAGAACGGATAAACAGTTTTGGTACATTCATACAATGCGATTGAAACTGTGCAGCAATGAAAGTTTACTAGAGCTATAAGCACCAACCTCTATGGATCTCAGAAACACAGTAAGTCTAGGGCTGTTTCCATGACACTGTGCCACCACTTTTCTGGCCCTAAGACTTGGATTCACCAGATGCCAAATGTGTTCCTAATATGAGCAGTGATGTGGCATGCAAACCTCTTTAGGGAGTAAACCTCTGGGCAGATTGACGGGTTCTTTTTAGATGCGTAAAGCTGCTGGGTGACCTTTCACTCTGCTGAAGTATCTAAATTCGTCTCCCAGGCAGAAATGAGTGAAGTGAAATGATGAATGGAGTGGGTTCTTTTTAGATGCGTGAAGCTGCTGGGTGACCTTTTACTCTGCTGAAGTATCTAAATTCGTCTCCTCAGGCAGAAATGAGTGAAGTGAAATGATGAATGGAGCAGTACCATTGACTAGCTTGTGGCAGAAGTAGGAGATGGGAAGATGGAAGTGGACAGTCCCTAGTGGATAGGCCTAGCATAACGCCTATTATTAAGTGCTGAATGAACGAATAATTAAAGAATTGTATTTAGCACATGACCAGTTTCCTGAGGGCTACCAGTTCTCCTTCCTTCCATCCATTCATTCATGCTTTCATCAAACAGGTATTGATCACCTACTAGATGCCTAGCAGTATGATGAGGTATTAGAATGAATGTGGTGTGGTTCCTGTCCTCTCAAATGGCTCAAATCTATAGGAAGCCAAAGAGATTCCCAGTGTGTTTTTGTTACTGGTATATGTATACATGTATGTAAATGTATATGCATGTGTAAGTCTCTGTATATGTGGAAGCAGTGCAGATAGCAGAGAATGATTGGGTAAGTCTTCCCAGAGGTAAAAAAAAAATTGAGATGGGTCTTGAAATATAAGTAGGAACTTACCAAATACATACTATTATGGTATTTCTAGACATTTCAGACAAAGGAAGAATATATGCAAAGACATGGAGCTATTTCAGAGCACGCCGTGGTGTAGAGGTTAATGAGTTGATCTGTCTGCTGCAGACAGGGCTGGCAGGAGGGCCAGAAGTGGGGCCTTACTGCCTTCTAAAAGGGGTATTAGGGCTTTATTCTGTTGACAGTGGGAGCATCTAGGCACTGGGTTTTGGAGATTTCTCAGGGACTAAATAATATGCAAGCCAATGAAACAAAACACCTGTGGAGCAAATTGACTGTTCTAAAGAATAGTGTGTTTTCAACTACTTACATATATTTATACAAGTCCATTGATTAAAAAATATGTATTGCTGCTTTTACTAGAGAAAGCTCTAAATAGTAATAGTAACTTGATATACTAAACGAAATGATACAGTAGTAACAGTCCAGATGCCTGCAATAAAGTGCCTGTGACAGTTTAGTGGCTTAGCATTTATTAAAGCTATAAGTGACTTAAAAATTTTAAATTCTGCATTTTAAATCCAAAAACATCTCAAGATTTTTGTCCTAGACTTAACCTAAGAGCCATGCCTCCCTTTGAAATAGCAACTCATCTGATTTGCTTTCCTGTTTATTTCTTTGAAGAACTCTGGAAAGGCAGTATAATAGAGTAGCAAGGACACGATTGTTTGGAAACAGGTAAATCTATAATAAGATTCCATTCCTACCACTCCCTGGCAGTTGTGTGACCTAAGGAAAGGAATTTAATTTCATAAAGGCTCAGTTTCTTCATCTCCAAAATGGAAAAAATAAAATCTGCTCCATAGTGTAGATGTAATGTTTAAATGAATTAATGCATGTATATAAGTTCCCTTTTCCCTTTAAGCCCACTGAGACACACATAGTGACAGGGACGAATTAAGCAAAGCAGCAAATTAAATGTAGGAAGATTGCTTAAGAGCGTTTTTAGGTTTCGACTATATGTCATTATTTGAGAAATGTGAGTTCTATTCAGGTATTGTTTTATGTTCTTGAACATTAGTGACTTTTTTTTCTGTTTGAAAAGTGAAAAGAGATCACAGAGTTTTCTCTGATTTAGATAGGACACAGTAAATTAAAAGAATACGTAAGGTTTCGGCCACCATTAAGAACAATCATCTTTTCTAGAGTTCTGAGTTGCTTTTTCTAATCAGTGTCTAATGTTTGTGGTTTGTGGTTTCTCCTAGTTGACCTGTTAGGTTTGTTAAACTGGCGTTCAAACTCCCAGAACATCAAACACAACTTAAAGAAGTTAATGGAGGTGGATGGAGGAGAGATTGTTAAGGTATGTTTATATTCATACTCAGAAATATGGCCACCGTATTATTACTTCAACGTTTTAAATTAAACCTATCATCGTAGATATAAAATTTGTTATCTACATTGGGAAGCAAGTGTGCATTACTTAAGAAAATGCTATTTGTAAACCTATTCTATCAAAACCTAATTATGCCCGAATTTCTTCGGTATGAAGCTGAACTGAAAGCCTCAAATAACCCCTCCATTTTTATTCTTTCAGTTTTTACAAGATACGCTAGATGCACTTTTTAACATAATGATGGAAATGTCAGACAATGAAACATATGACTTCTTGGTGTTTGATGCACTGGTAAGCAGTTCAATATATCAACTAGTGTTTATTGTCACAACTATAGTTTTCGGTATTTCATTATTATAAATAATTGTGATGAATAACCTCCTGCACAAATATTTGTATACATCTCTCTTGACTATTTCTTAAGGCTAAATTTCTGGAAGTAAAATTAGAAACATGTGCTTTATATTTCAAGCTTTTCTTTTCCATTTTGTTAGATTTCAAGTTTGATGTGCTTTCTCTTTGTCATTAAGGAAAACAAGGTTATATTACATTGCAAATCAGGAGTCACTTTAACTTACTTTAAAATTGGTTAGTTGTAAAACAGGAGAAACCATTAATGAAGATGCTTGCAGCTTGTTGTATATGTGTGTACTTTTGTGTTGACACAAGGGAGACTGACTTTATAAAGTCAGAAATGAATCTTAGTCTCATTATGTACAATACGCAACCTTGCAGACAATTAAATTTGCCACACAAAGTACTTAAACGTTATACAACCCGTTCTAAGAACTAAAATCTAGACAAGGAGAGGAGATCTGGGAAGGCCAGAAATAGTGGTAAAGTGGAAGATGCTTTGTTTTCTCATTGTTGGGTTTAAGTTCAGCGCAGAATTTTACCTAAATGTTGCAGTAAAGGAGGAAGATACATTGCAGCTTTAGGTCATTCGCCAGCTCGGAGAAACTGGTAAATTCAAGCAAGAGTCAGGATGTTGAAGCTAAAGAGAAGGAATCCCTCCAACTGAGCTCACGCCTGGTCAGGTTCATGGGACAGAGAGACAGTGGTTCTGAGCTCTGGGGGACGAGGTCTGGAGACAGATTTCTGTGGGGCAGAGCAGCTGGCAGTGTGCATATGTGAAAGTACCGGGCGGCCCTTCTTTTATCACGAATAGGTGCAAAGTGGTATTTTTGTAGATTTTGCACCTGGTAGTGATACACCAGGGAAATTGGGAGGCAAAAGTCTGGTGAATTCAGTTACTGGGGGCTCGCACACTGCATTCAGGAGAAAATTGGCATGGAATGTTTCATTAGCTGCATACGTGGGTTAGAGTTTATTCTTCACACAGGTAACCCCTGCCTGTATCCTCCTCCCTCCTGTCCCACCACGTTCCCTGACTTACGTTACCTGTGCACTGGACTCTCTCGGAGACATAGCTCCCTGAGGCCAGGGATGCTGGCTGGCATAGGTTTTTTCACAGCATCTAGCACAATGCCAGACACATAATAGTCTTTCTATTCATGTTCACTTAAAACTCTTAACTTCAGCTCTGGAATAATAAAGTGAGAAAGCTACAAAAATGATCAAGAAAGAAAAGACAGTACCCAGATGTTAAAATCCAGTTTGTTGACAGAATGCCTAGGGCTTGTACAGTGCTTTATTTATGTGTTTCACCTTTGGCAGGTATTTATTATTTCACTGATAGGAGACATCAAGTTCCAGCATTTTAATCCTGTCCTGGAAACCTACATTTACAAGCACTTCAGTGCCACTTTGGCATATGTGTAAGTATGATTTAAGGGGGCTACCCGTTGTTAGGTTATTGGATTCCACTTTTGTGGCTGGATTGCTGGGAAACGAAAGGGTCATAGACTGAGCAAACATGCCCCTAAAAATGGAACCTTGTTCTACACTTCCTGGTAGAAGGAGGCAGCCATGTAGCTATTCCAACCCTGGAAAGGGGGTCAGGCTCAGGCCTCGCCTTCTAGGAAATGATGGAAGAGATAAGGCTCTACTTCTTTAAGAATCCAGAACATATAAGTGAGGAGTTAAAGCCTTAGGAGCAGAAGCCAGGACAGGTGACCATACTCAAGATCTTTGGAATTGGGTATCAGTGAGATTAGCATGAGGCCCCAAGGGAATCAAACGTCGATTAAGCAAAACCATATCTGATAGAATAGCAGGTCATGCCCTCAGCCCTACGTCACGAGTGCTGTGTAGAATTTATCATTTATTGGATATGAGAAGGTTTAATTTTCTTTCTTTCGCATAAGAGGGAATGGTCTCTCTTTTCCATAGTGAACCCTGACTAAGAAAAGCAATGTTTTCACTCCCTACTTCGCCCTGGAGTGCTCTTCTGTCATGGCATTGTATGCGGCTTATGACCCCACCCTTTTGCATTCCAGTTATTGTGCAGAACAATGTGATAAATAATGACAGGAGTGTAGTTGATATTGGCAAAGACCTTTTTGACAGTGGCTTAAGCCAGATCAAGCCAATTGCTGCCAGCAGGTCTAGTAGAGTGGCCGCTGACTCGAACATTAGCTCAGATTATCGATCCCTTCCAAATTAAACAAGAGAGTTCTCGGTTTTATTTGCACGAAGGTCCAGAAATGTAATAAAACCTAAGTGACATGAAAGAAGTGTCCTGTAGCATAATCACCCCTAACACAATGGATATCACGCCCACCGCATCTAGGGAAGTGGTGGATAGGCCAGTGATAGGGTTCCTTCCACCCCGCGGCCTCACTTTCCAAGCCCTCAGTGGCCACAAGTGAGGAAATCCTGGCACTGGGTCTTCATCACGCAGAGCCGGGTGCGACACTCTGGGTGGTAGTAATCTGGCTTGGTCGTTTCAACGTGTTTCCTGTGGGTTTTTCTTAGAAAACTCAGAGATTCCCAGCAGGAAAGTCAAAAATATCAGTGCCCTCAAAAGCATGAGTTAGCAGAAGATTAAGGCATTGCCTAGTCCGAAGACTGGAAAGTCTGAAAGGGCGACCTGCAGTCTCAGAACAGGGCTATCTTTTGGGAGCTGGGAGCCATGGGTGTTCTCGTCAGACTCAGCTCCTCTTCCCATACTCAGTAGTTTTCCATCTGGCTTCGTATTTATGGATGCCAAAGGGTTTAGGCAAATCGGAGAGAATTAAATTTCTTTTAAGGCAGTGTCTCAGATAGGCAATCTGTCCTTTACAAGAAACACCTAAAGATGTCTGTATAACACCCCAGAAATCAAAATATTTCCAGTATTTGAATCTCTTTAACTGTTCCATTGCTTCATCCCGTTTTAAAATCCTACAAAGGTAAAGAAACCATCTGCTATTTCTAGGCAGAAGGGAAGCTCCAAATCTAGACTGCGGTGAGGAAACTAAATTGCAAAGGGGTTGATTTTCTTGTTCAGGATATAGTCTAGAAGAGATAATAGTCGTTGTGACTTCTACTTCCCCAGTATGCCAAGTTCCCTTCCTGTATAGCAAACCCCAAACCTCTGGGTACCACTTTGTCCCATTGACAATCTTGTCTTTCTCACTCTTTTAAGGAAACTCTCCAAGGTACTGAACTTTTACGTGGCTAATGCAGATGACTCCAGCAAGACAGAATTGCTTTTTGCTGCTTTGAAAGCCTTAAAATACTTGTTTAGATTCATCATCCAGTCTAGAGTACTCTACTTAAGGTAATGGTCACTGTGATAAGATGTTGATGCTGTTCATTCTCTCTCCGTGAAGTTTTCCTTAACCCTTGTGCTCATGTAGCTCTGCGATCTCTTGGGTCATGGAGTTGCCAATTTCAAAACTTCAGGGCCAAATATGGAGGCGGACTATGAAGCCATTAGAGAAGGTCCATGCGAAGTCCTTTTGGGTCAGCGGAATTTCTAGGGCAGTAATGACAAAAGGACTTAGGGATGCTAATGTGCAACTTCCTAGAAGCCTTTGTTGGTGACAACAGCTCTAGGGAGGCACGTTCCTGTGGCAAGATTGTATTTAGTACAGTGAGGGGCTTCATAACAATGCTGGATTTACAAATCTAGAATCATGAGCTATCTTTGGTAGTAGAGGGAAAAAGGCAGTTTGGGGAGATGTTTCCTGAGGTGTGTGTTTCTTTGCTGGTTCCATGTTTAGCTACCTGGTGAAGCTAAGCCATAAAGATAGGATAATTCCCAATTTGAATTCCTAGAATAACAGTTCCATCAAAAAGAGAAGACATCAAGAAAGAAGAAGTACCTTTCTGGGAATGCTCACAACTAAACAGCCTTCCTTACACTTCAGTGATAGCTGGGTTTCCAAACTGTTAAGATATATTTATAAGGCAGAAGGAAAAGGTCTATAGATTCAAGCTTGTATATTTTTAAAAATTCATATACTTAAAACTATAAACAAAATCAAAGGCAAACAACCCGAATAAAAAGCTTGCAACATATAGTACAGATCAAAGGTTAATAGCTTTTCTGATAAAAGGCTCTTAAAATTCAAGAGAAGAGTGATAAATATCTTTACAATAGAAAGCAAAAGAAAAAAATGAAATGGCCGATTGAATTTAAAAAAATATTTATACTCAGTCTGTGGCCATGCCACCCTGAATAAGCCCGATACCGTCTGATCTCAGAAGCCAAGCAGGGTCGGGCCTCGTTAGTACTTGGATGCAAGACCACCTAGGAAGACTGGGTGCTGTAAGCATAAAAAATAAAAAATAAAAAAATAATAGATTGTAAGCTGACAAGGTCCTTGCAATCTGTGAGGTCAACCAAAGGTTGCCTCGCCTAAATATATATACACACACATATATATCTAAATGCAATACAATACTCATTATCTTTACCTATACATTTGCTAAAGATTAAAATAAGAATATAATTTCTTAAGGACAGATAAAAAGCAAAATGAAAATAAGAAAGAAAAATGTCACATCTGTCCAGTAATATCTATTAATAAGAAAGAATCAACTTTTCAGCTGATGGACAACTCTTGAAGACAAGCAGAATCTTTTAATCAAAACAAGCATGAATTAGTGAAGATTAAGGTGTCTTGTGCCCTGGGAGGACCCTTCGTTAGGGTAGGTCAGCACCAGCGTGGCCAGTTCAATGGACAGAGTAACACAAGCTAGCCTTGCAGACTGGTCTGGGTTCAGAATGTTTCTGGGTCGAGCTTTTCTACCCATTGTCTGAAACTTCAACTCAAGTGATTAGGGCTTGATTAGATGAGACAGAATAATAAGAGCGACACAGAAAAGGAGAATGAGGGAGGAGGGAAGGAGTGATGCTGGAAAATAGAATGTGGCAGGTGTGATGTGTCAGGGAAGTTAGCTGGGGGGTATCCCTCGCTCATTGGACATTCTGCTAATGAATTGAGGAAGGCGGCAAGCATGCAGGGCTCATCTGCTACTTCAGGCAAAGCAGCTTCCTGCTGCTCTCCCTCCATGCCAGAAGTGCCTACAGACCACTAGCTTGTAGGACATCAACAAGGCTGTGGTCTTCTGACAGCTTCAGGGGAATCCTTTCCAAGTGGCTTTTCACAGTGGACCAACTGGAGAGCTCTGCAGTAGGACATTCCATACAAATTACCACCCAGCTGGTAATAGCCAGGTGCTAATATCTTCTCAGTTTGCGAGGCTTGTCTCTGAAACCATCTTAGAGCACGCTGGGACTTCTCTTGCAAAGTTCAAAGTGATGACCAGTGAGGCATGTGCTTCCAGCATTGTTTAAGCAACAGTTCTATTTGAAAATTTCTTTTTAAAGGTGGAAAATCTTATTGCTTTTCTCTTTTTCTTATTAAGATTTTATGGCCAGAGTGAAGAAGGAGATGAATTTAATAATTCAATCCGCCAATTATTTCTCGCTTTCAATACATTAATGGACAGGCCTCTGGAGGAAGCTGTCAAGATCAAGGTCAGCCTGTCATCATCGTGGGTAACTTTTAATGCCATGGGTGAGGATGTCCTGGGACAACATAGAATTGGCCGTGGTGGGAGAGGAACAAAATAAACCATAATTCATGGAAAACTTGCAAATTTTAGTATGACTTATAGAAAGTACAGGGAGAAACCTGTGTTTCAACTTTCATGAATTTTTTTATTCTCAAATGTCAGTTGCTAAAGACAAGCTTCCCTTTCAGACATCCCTTGAGTGGCTTTTGTGGCCCCTGTGAACTCAGCCCATTGATCCTGATGTTTCAGACAACAGGTTTTTATTCTTAGTTTCCCCCTTTTTCCCGGGAGCCCAAAGTCACCATCATTTTCATTATTATCAATTTTTCAAATGGAAAATACATAATCTCTGAAGACTCAAATTTTAACTTTAATATTCTTTGCTCTTTATGGCAACGTCAAGATTTTAACTACCTCGTGAGGTCGAGAAATGAATTCCAAGTGGGTAGTGCCTGTTGGTAGTGAAGACAAAAAGCTGTGTCTCCTGACTTTTCAGGAAAAAGATTTTAGGAGATCACGTATTACAGCGTCGGCTTTCCTTTCTTTTGCAAGAACATTTGTGTCCAGTTTCCTGCGTGAGATCCAAGCCTTTCTTTTCCTGGAATCAAGCCGTAAATTCTGTATTTGTCCTGCTTGGCAATTGAATCTGCCTTTGGCGTTTTTCTTACAGGGGGCAGCTTTGAAGTACCTTCCTAGCATAATTAATGACGTCAAGCTTGTGTTTGATCCTATTGAGCTCAGGTAAATAGCAAAAACCATTTGTTTCTTGCCTTTAACAGAAAAGCAGTTCCTCTGCTTTGGCTGGAGCCTCAGCCGCCACACGTGCTCTCATTCTTCTAACATATATTAACCGAACACCTTTTCGTGCTCAGTTCTGGGGAAGATAGAAAAAAAGACATAAAGCCTGCTTCTCTGAAGAGGTTTGAGCTTTCTCCAGGGAAATAAGACACACAACACAGACATAAAATTAACTACAGAAGAAAGTACATAATAATATGCTTCCAGCCCCTTACCTAAGTACCCCAGGAATGCAAAGTCAGATGGCGACTGACACTGGAGTGGAGTTAGCAAGAAAAGGATTCTGCAGAAGTTGAGTGCTAGGACAGGTCTGGATGGCAGTGGCGGACCCGGGGGTGCTTTGGCAGTGTAAGCAGAATCAGCTCTCAGGTCGAGCCCTGCAGTGAGCATAGGATACAGTCTCTGCTTCCTAGAGACAGTCTTTCTAGTCATTTGTAAGAGATTTCCAGGTAAACCTCTCCGTGCCCTGATCTCAGAGCAGAGAGCAATCACAGTGTAATGATACCTTCAGCTTAGCAGAATGAAAACACTAACCACTGGGTTTTGTCTTCCAGCGTGCTCTTCTGCAAATTCATTCAAAGCATTCCTGACAACCAGTTAGTTCGTCAGAAGCTTAACTGCATGACCAAGATAGTAGAGAGTAATCTTTTTCGGCAGTCAGGTAAGTCTCCCCCTGAAATTCCAGTCTTGCTTCTTCTTCAGCCAATTTGCTCTTTTTCTTAATATCAGTAATATCCTTGCCAGTTCAGTTGTTTGTTGGTACTTGAGGACCTCCTGGGAAACCAGCTTTAAGGAGAAGATGAAGTCAGTTCAGTATTACTAATAATTCCTAAAAGAGCAAAATTGTGTGTTCATTAATCTTTAATTAGAACAATCAAGTGTTTCATTCATTAGAGAGTTTTGTCACAAAATAGGAACCCTGAAAAGTAATGGGCAAGCATGAAAGATTGTTCTCCTTAAAAATGTGTCTTCTTTGACCTATACGTAATATAATCTCAAAAACCAGGGGACAGGGCAGCAGTGTAGTCTATGCCTAATGCCACACTGCCTGGGCCAGGACAACCAATTATGTGCATCTTTGCTCAACTCCATGCTCATTCATGTCACATAAGTAGCTGAAAATCAACCATAGTGGAAGTATTTATACCACGGAAATTGGCAAACACTATAAATCAGAGGGGTTTTTTTGCGGGGCGTGCGGTTAGTTACTAGCATGCTGCCGGGAGGAGAGTAGAGCATGGAGAGATGAAAACTCTTATACTGACAAAATACTATTCATTTTGTAATTAGAGTTGAGCATGTAGCCACTAAGTCTCCTGTCCCAAAGCTGATATGGGGAAAAGGTCCAATGTCCGGTCTTTTCCCCAGTAAACCCGAGACTGGCTAGAGTGGAGCAGCCGTGGGAACTTTTTCGCAGCTTCCACCAGGTCAGGACGTCCTAGAGGGTGACTTCCTGTTACTTGTATTGCCTGGTGGCATCTGAGGACCTGTTGGACTCCTCAGAAATAGGAAAATTGAGTGAGTCGTGGGTGGGAGAACCCTCTCAGTCTTTCCCCTGGCCAGTTATGTAACTTTGAACACACTAAGGACTTATTCTCACTGGTAACAGCCATTTCTGTTACCGTCCAAATAACTGGACTCATCATAATACTTTATAATAGTGAAGATCCCAAAAGGGAGGTATGAACTTTATAGGTGAAGTCCACATGCCTGTGAAAACAAGGGCAGAATGTCTGTGAAACACATGAAAATATACTAGTGAGGGTCAGTATTTATAGGAATCTTAGAGTAAATTTTCTCCATTAGGTGGAAAATTTCAAAAATATATATATTTTTAAGTGTATAACTTGCTTAGTTTATTAGTTTCACATGACTTGCTTTCGAGAATTAAGTTAGCATTTTATTTTTAACACCGAAGAAATTGTTCCACACTTTAAACGTTTTGCTACGTGTACTTATGACAGGTGCGATTTTCTTAGTTTTCAAAATCAAGCGACAGGGCCGAAATCCCATGCCTAAACTCCTGTGCCCCTCATGGCCTGGAGGGAGCCCCGCCCTGCAGAGTAGAGTCCAGTGCTGGGGGCTGTAAGAACAGGCAGAAAGAGAGGTAGGGAGAGGGCAGTTCAGGAGGCGATCCTGCAGCTGGCGAGCTGTCTTCGTTTTCTCTCTCAGAGTGCAGAGACGTGCTCCTGCCACTGCTGATCGACCAGCTCAGCGGCCAGCTGGACGACAACTCCAGCAGGCCTGACCATGAGGCGAGCTCGCAGCTTCTGAGCAGCATCCTGGAAGCGCTAGACAGGAAGGATGTGGTGAGTCGAACCGTCACTGACGCAGACCACAGCACTCACTGGTCTCGTGGCCTCGGACGAGAATGACTCTGTGGCCTTCCTGGCGTCAGGGCTTGGCCCACGCACTTTAGAACAGGCACACCTGGACAGGCTGTGCCCATTTTAGAGGTAAAGAGAGGCTTCTCCTTGCTGGAACCTGCTCTGCAAATCTAAGTCCAGGAGAGGTCTGCTTACTGCTGGGGCCCATTGCTGAGGTCCCTGTGAGAACCTTTCAGAGCCAGAGCCCTGTTTAGACACTTTTATTTTGTTTTTGTTTCTGTTTTTTTATGCAGAAACCTTGCTCCTCTTTTACCTTTGGTACCTACAGTAAACACTATTGTAGATATTTTCAAGCTTCTTAGAAGTTTGTGTGTTTATATTCTCTCTGACCGCGATTCTTTGGAGCCTAGTGGAAATTACGCATTTCCTTATCTGGCCTCTTCTCCATGACCTAGATATCTGTGCCCCCTGAAGGCCTGGGATTGGAACTGCCTGGATTTACCGAGTCCTAGAGATAGAGATAGCACAGCCCAAAGGCCTATGCGTGGCCTCCACTCAAGAGGCTGGAGAACTTTGCAGAATGTTTTCAGTTGCACGCAAACCATGGTCACCACACCGCTTGGTGTCTACATGGCACAGATGTTCCCACAGAGTAGGGAAATCACTCCTGGTTTTGCCTTGGCCCTTTCTCATACCAGCATCTTTAGATTTAGTTCTGCTGAAGGACATGACGGACACTCTGTCCTTTTCATAGCCCAAGCCTTAGCTCACTTTTCAAAGTCCACCCCAGTTTGGCCACAGCCCATCTCACCTCCTGCTTGTCATCACACAGGCACATCTGCATTTCGCACATCTGCATTCCACACCTCTGCCACAGAAGAGCAGGAGGAGACCATCACTTTCTCTACCTCGCTCCACCTTTGTTTCTTCCCTGAGCTCCTGTAGACCACCCTATTTGTACTATCTATTTTAGATTAAATTAAATTCTAGGTCAGCCCCTTTTTAGGCTTAAATGTGTTCCTAGAAGCCACGTTATAAAATGGAATACATTTTCCCTCAGGAATCTTACGATTGGGGATTTGATTCCTAACCAAGGATTTTACAACAGGTAAATAAATATGATCGATCATGTCATAATGACTATAATATTTTTAAAAAGTAACCCTTATGACTCGGTAATTAAAATACTAAAATGAAACTCTGAGTCCTCTAAAGTTGGCAACAACGTGCTAGGCACAGGGCTACGTTTAGTCAGGGCTACGTTGTTCTTGAAAGCATGTGTATGTGATCCTAAGTTAATGTGGAATATAAGAATCAGGCTATTTGGTTTCTAGTCTCAGTATGACCACTCTGCTGTAGCTCTTTATCCTTAGGACAGTGTCATGGCACTTCACTTTCCCATTCAGCGACATGTAAGAATTGTTCTAGATGACCTCCCAGGTCTCTTTCACTTCTGATCCTACTTCTTACTACACAGAAAGACTCTTCAGAAATGACTTGAATGTATTTACGTCCTGCGCTAGATGTAATTGGCTTAAAAAACTTTTTTCGTCTTCCGAGTAATGTTCTAATAAGCAGAAGCATTCAAAATTATTCATCTTGGAGCTCCGTTAAAGTAGTTAAGTCAGTATTTTTTTTATTGATGGTAATGGTATGTTTTTTTTTCTACCGTAAGCATTTTTAAATATACGAGCTAACTTTATATGTCTTCCCATAGCCTCTCATCTTCTCAGTTAATTCCAAGCTCTATAATTACTGACATTTATTCCTATGCCTTTTTTCGTTTTTTAACAGTCCGAGATTCCTTCCTCTTTTCCCAAAGCTATTTCTCCTCATTGTCCTCATTCTTCAAAGCAATAAGCACCTGTGTGAGGTCATTCCTGGTGCAGTCCTGCCCAAACCCCCACGCTTTGCTAGTTCCCTTCATGTTCTCTTTATGTCACTTTTAAGGCTCTTATCGTTTGGTACCCTGAGTTATGAGTTCAGTTTACAAATCCTTAAACAACCTGCATGCTCTGGGCGCCAAGATAAGTCTAAGAACACAGCGGTGAACAAAGGGAACAAGCACGTTGGGATCTTTGTGTTTTGCTTATATATATTCATGCCTCATCTCTCCTGCTGGAGGATGAATCTCTTAAGGGCTCAGAGGATGGAGGATTTATTTTCACACCTCCACACAAGCCTTCCCCCGCACTCCTATGTGAATTATGCACTTAGTCAGTCCTACAGTATGGAATTATAAATATAGGTGACCTCTCCAAGAAAGGTCAGTTTTATCCTTCACTTTCATTCAAAGAAATGGGAAGCAAGTAAATAATAAAATGCAAGGAAGGAAAGAAGGGAGGGAGGGAAAGAAGGCAAGCTAACAGTACTTGGTATTTTAATAAAACTATATATAGCAATAATTTAGTTATTTGAAGTGTTTAACCAGGAGTTTCCAAATATCTGTCATGAAGCAAGAATGAATAAAGGCTTTGAAAAGTTAAGTTAAATACTGATAAGTTGAAGCTGAATGAGTGTAACACCAAACCACAAAAAAGGAAAAAAAGAAAAATAAAAACTAAACATTATGAGGCACCGTTGAGTACATCAGCCCGATTAATTCCTATAAGCAAACTTCCTTTTTTACGGTTATGAAAAACTGAAGATCAACAAAGTCAAATAATTGCTCACCCTTGACAGAGTCAAACTATTAAATCCCTATGTTAGTCTGCTCGGGCTGCCAAAACAAAATACCTGAGTCCTCATTTAACATCACTGATAGGTTCTGTGACTTTAAGTGAAGCAATGTATAATGAAACTAATTTTACCACGGGCTAATTGAGATAAAAAGAGTTCGGTTTCTCTGACATCTCATCGACATTATAAGGAAATCACTGTTATTTGAGGACCTGCTGTAGACTAGGTGGCTTAAACAATAGAAATTTATTTCTCACAGTTTTGGAGGCCAGAAGTCCAAGGTCAGGGTGACCACCGCGGTCAGGTTCGTGGTGAGGGTGCTCTCCTCCTAGTTCCCGCCTGGCCTCTCCTAGGGGTGTGTGTGGAGTGACAGAAAGGGTAAGCTCTCTGGTGTGTCTTCTTATATGGACACTAATGCCATCAGACCAGGCCTTCATCCCCTAATTGGCTCCCAGGTATCATCACAGTGAGGTTAGAGCTTCAACATGTGAACCCTGAACACAAACAGTTCATAACAATCTCCTGGACTGGAATTTCTTGTTTTGGTTTTTTTTTTCTCCTTCTACACAGAAGGTAGCAAGAACTTTGTATTATAGCTTTTCACTTCCTGTGCATGTGCCTAATTGTTCCAGACAAGCTGACCTGCTCAGCGTCAGGACTGAGTATCATGCTAATGGGAGTCCCCCCACCCCTAAATTGTGCTGAGTCAGTGGCCACAGTGAGCTCTCAGCAAGCTTGAGTGATCAGGGTTATTAGGGCAGCATTCTTCCACGGCATGCCCACACATCTTTTAAATGTTGTACCTGATTCTTTCCACCTGGCCCCTTGGTAACATTATGTATTATTCTGTGAAAGCACTTTTCCATTTGGGACAAGAGATTGCTTTGTAGGGAAGAGCCAGAATGAGATTTAAAGAGAAAACCCCTCTGTCCGAGGTTTCCTGAAGAAAAGTAAGCTGAGTCGGAAGAAGCGGTGCCATTTCCTGTGTTTCCCCTTAGGGCCCCACCGCCATGCACATGCAGCTGGTGATGGAGCGGCTGCTGAGGAGGGTCAACCGGACTGTGATCGGGATGAGCCGACAGTCTCCCCACATCGTGAGTATCGCTGCAGGGGACCCGCTGCCCCCACTGCTTCTCAGTGTCCCATGTGCCTCTTGGGAGGCTTTTGGGACCAATGTCTTGAGACTAGATTCACATGGGCCCCTCACATCCCAGCCTGTTCCTGCACACTGTACGGCATGGCTCACTTAGAAATGAGTGGGATCCGGGACCTTACAGCCTTCCCAGATGGGCGATTCTTGGTTAGAACTGCAAGAGGATTTTAATTCTGAGACTGATGTTCCTTCAAGAGGAGGTGATCCAGCAGGGTGGCAGAGAGGCTCCTGGGGAGCATGATTAAGGGGTCCATGAACATTAGGCAGGCAGATCCATTCCTGAGAAGTCTCACTCACGCTGAAGATCAAACAAAGGCCAGTTACAATGCAGAGACCCACTGAGACATGCAGGCACCCTAGAAGACTAATAACTCAGTACCCGGTCCACCTATTACTCCTTGAATATTTATTTAATATTTTATTTAAGGAAACTATGAGCCTTGGTGAGCAGAAAATAGAGGGTTTTGGTGGCTGCTTTCAGCATTTCTTCTATTACTCTCAAGTAATTTAATAATCTCAAATAATTTAGTTCTAATTCTCAATATATGCACACCCTGTCTGGATCCACCCTCGTTAGAAAGGTAATAGTAATAGTATTAGTACTGCCAGCTGTAGCAATGATAATAGTAGTAGTCATTAATCTATTTTGTGTGTGTGTGTGTGTGTGTGTGTGTGAGTGTGTGTGTGTGTGTGTGTGCCAGAAACTTCAAATTTTAAGCACTTTATGTTTCATTGAAAGCTCATTCCAATCCTATCAGGTAGTTCTTTCATGAGCTTCATTGTTAAATGAGGAAGCATGTGGACAGAGGTTACGAAACCTGCCCGAGATTGCAACTATCATTTGAATTGGGGTTTGGACCCAGGCAGCCAACCTCGCTGCAGAGTGTGTGTGTACTGTCAGACAAACCCGTGCCCAAGCAGCTTTTACCAAGTTATGTGTCCTGTAGTTGCCTATGTGTCCTATAGTTGCCATGAGAGGAATTCTGATAAATTCCGTTTTCCCCTTTGCATCGTATTTCCACAAATGTTCGACATGCTTATAGATTGGTGCCCTATGGTCCCATCCAATCCTTTAGGTTCAAAGAAAAAACAAAAACATTTTAAAGGACTTGTGATTCGCATGCTTTTAGAAATGCTTGTGTTGCTCTAACATCTTATTCTCTAACTACTGTGTCTGTTCGATGTCAGATAAAACTATGATTGAGACCACAGCTACCTGTTGAGATCCAAGTTGTATCACCCTTAAAATGAAGTATCTTTTACTTGTGATATTCAAAGATAGGGTTAAGTTTTAATTAGAGGACATAGGAAAAGAACCATCCCAAACTGCTATAGTTAGCAAAAAAACATTTATTTCTTCAACAAACATGTATTAAGAAACTACTGTAAGCCGAACTCTATTCTAGACACTGGAGATATGTCAGGGAACAAAACAGACAAAAATCCCTACTTTAGCAAAGCTTACATTCTAGCAATAACAACTACAACAACAAAAAATAGATGGTGTTAGAAAGAGAAAAGTGCCCTGGAGATAAAAATGAGCAGGATAAGGCAAGTCAGGGTGGGAGAGTTACAAATTTAAACAAGGTAGTTAAGAATGGTTTTCCAGAAAAGGTAAAATTTGGACAAAGACTTGAAGGTGAAGGAGTGGGCCATGTGGCTGTGTGGTGAACAGCCTTCTGGGCAGAGGCAGCAACCAGGGAAGAATCCCTAAAAGGTCCCTCGTAAGACTCACATGTGGGTGATAGAGCTGATTCAAATAAGAATAAAGAGAAATGACTGCAAATAAAACATCATCTCTCTGCTAGATCAAAACTCAGGCTGATCCAAAACATATTATGAAAGGATTCAGATCTTATATTAAAAATATAGATAACTGGACACACCATTAATTGCTAGTGCCGTGCCATTTCTGACATGTATGTAAAGAAAGTATAGAGAAGGGCAAGTTGATAACTATGTTGTTTAGGAAATGTTATGTTGGCTTACAGATAATACTTTATATGCGTTCATTTAAATTTACCTTTTCAACTTCTTTTAGTAGTGAAATCATCTATCATCTCCCTCGTTGTTTAACTCAAGAGTGTTGGCTCGGTATGTTCAAAGAGAAGAGTGAGGATTTGAATGTGAAAGTGGCAGTATCCTTGCCATGTTTCTGTTAAAACAAGATTATGAATGTGGAAATGGCTGAAATACATGGAGTGATAGAGATACCATGAGAACACAGTGAGAATGCTTGAGAAAGGTAAACATAGAAGGGAAAAGCGAGGGAAAGACATACAAAGAAACAAAGACACAGTCACAAAGAGAAATATGTACACACATATCCTATATATAGATATACATGTATATATACATATATATGGCTTAATATAGTTTATTCTAGATATTCAAGAATAGTTAAATATTAGAGGATCTGTTAATAAAATATATCAATTTGATAAAGGAAAAAAGCTTATGATTCCACAGATGCCAAAATATATGTGATAGATGTAATATCTATTTCAAATTGAGAATTGGAGGAGATGTTGTTAACTTGCAATCACCAGGCAACGTATTACTTGATGGTCATAAAAAAGAGAATCAAGATGTTAAATATCAACTGTCATTTCACATTTTTCAATAAATTCTGGCCAATGTAATAACTCCTCCCCTCGCCAAAAAGAACCCACCAAGTATAAATATTGAAAAAGGAAAAAGTAATTATAATTGTCATTATTTTTAGCTGAAATGACTACGTTATCCAGGAAACCCAAGAGAGTTAAAATACAAATTTTAGTAACTAATGAATAGCTTATTAAACTAACCGGCTTCAAAATAAATGTCATTCAGTGGCCTTCTTATATAACAACTGAAGCTATTTAGAGATTTTAAAAGAAAAATTTTATTTAATTTAGTCACAAAAATATGAGAGCAGAAATAAATAGAAGATATATAAATCAATAGCCCAATAGAAGCAGTAATGGAGGACTTGCCTACCAAATTTGAAAACATTGTCATGCTACAATAATCATGCAATAGGGTACATACATCAACAGAATAAATGGAAAGAATTTGAAAGGAGACTTTAGAGTAAATGAAATGTTTTACCTTTCAATAGGTAAAGTGAGATTTTTAGTAAATATTATTTGGCAAGTATGTGAACAATGTGGAAAAATTTTGTTTGACTTTTATTCATGCTATACCAGTAAAACAAATGTCAGATGGAATGAAGGATTTAATGTTTAAAAAAATTAAATCCTAAGGCAACTAGAAGAAAATATAAATGAATATATACCTATTTTAAAGAATAAAAGGACTCATGAAGTTTTAAAAATTGAAAGGATCCTATAAAAGAAAACAGTAGATTTTACTGGGTAAAAAATTGAAACCCCTATATGTGAAAAAATATATATATGTGCGCAGCTTTAACTTCAAGCACTAAACAAATAAGTTTTAAAATTATTTGTAAGATGTGTGACAAATGGCTAATAGCCTTAATATACAAAGAGCTATTATAAACCACTGAAAAAAGATACAGTAATTTTAAAAATTGGTAAAGAATATGAGCAAACAGCAAAGTGAAAAAAATAAATGGCCAACAAACATATGGACAGAATATGTAATTCACTATAGAGGAAATGCAAATTAACCAAAAACAAGATTAAATACAAATCTTCAATACCCAGAATAGGCAAAGGCCTGGAAAAACAAATAATGTTTGACACCGATGGGAGTAAAAACTATATGCTAGTTTGGCAAGATATATCAAAAGCCTTAGTATAATAATTTACCTAGGTTTATAATCAGAAAATTAACTTTTTAAAACAAACTGAGACAGACATTCGTTTAGAGAAGAGGCGTGTGTGGTTAGTCTTTTATTATTATTGGTTTAGGTAGTCATTCCCTCCATTCCAAAAACAGCTGTCTATTATCTCCTCTGTGCTAAATTCATTTAAATTTGTGTTGTTTTCATAATCATATGAATACAAGAGGATCTTTCCTCCTAGATATTTGCCCTCTGGCTAGAATATTAAGTCTATGATTCAAATAGAGTTGGACTGGGGGAAAGCACATTGAATATGTAATTTCTGACCTCAAAAATAGGAATGGTATTAATCATCTAATTATTCAATTCCTTTCTTCAAACCAGGTCCACAATAATGCATGCATAACACGCGGGGAATAATGGCTAAAAGCGTCTAGAGTTGAAGAAATGACATTGCAGTGTTCTACTAGCAAATTCTCATTTCCTATCCTTATCTCTCCTCCACTCTCAGTTTCGCTACTTCTCATTTTCCTCCTTGCAGTTGCTTCAAACTCAACTTTGTTTAAATGATCTAAATATTTCGGACATTTCTCCATGGACTTCTTTTTGCAGTACAACGCTGTCTCAACAAGAAACTCAAAGTCCCCAAGTTGTTACGGCTTAAGTAGTAATCTAACTGAGATCTTGAAGTCAGTGTCCTGTGACCTACAGGACTGCACAAATCTTAGGCGTTCGTGGGGTGGGGAAAGCCCTCCCTTCACAGTCCTTAACTCAAACTCTAAAGGGGGTCATTTTAAGCAGAAACAGCAAAGCAATGCCCTTTGAACTTTTTGTATGCTACATGTTTCCAGTTTGGTATGGTCCTTGCTTAGATAATTGAATGGGAAAAACCAAAGTACATGTACCCAAATCTTATTTGAGAATTGTATTTTCTTTCTCCTTCAGGGGAGTTTCGTTGCTTGCATGATTGCCATCCTGCGGCAAATGGACGACAGCCACTATGCTCACTATATCAGCACTTTCAAAACCAGACAAGACATCATTGTAAGTTGTCTTCATTGCGTCCTGGTAACCTTATATTTAGCAAAATATATATATATAATTTTTTTTTTTGAGCATCATGAGTCCAGGGACCCCTCCCTGTCCACCTCCAGTGCTGGGTGACTGTCCACCCAGGAAAGTGTTGATTCTTTCTTTCTCTCTGGGATAGGACGTGAAGAAGAGTATAATATGTATAGCACGAGGTCCTCACTTAACCCCTCGAGTCTCTTGGATTTAGAGAGAGCACTTATTTAGAAACATTTGGGAGATCTTGTTTGCTCTCAAGAGGATAGTGTCTCATTTTCAAAAACTATTGTTACTCATACTGGGGCAAGGATTTTAAGAGGCAGAGGTGTGCAAAGTCCTCTTAGATATGGTCGAAGTCATCATTTTCAATATTCCCTGGAAAGGACAATGAGAAAAGATAATACCTGCCCCTTAAAACGTTTGTAAGTTATCTTCAGTTGAAAATATTCCCTTCACTTTTACTTTAAAGAAAATTGTTCTCACAGTTGCTATTAAGCATACAACCGAAGGTGCCTGAGAGGCCAAGTTAGGCCTCTGGCTGCTCCCCAAGATCCTTCTTCAAGAAATTTTTAATGACTGTTGAAACTTCCCTGAAGGTGTCATCTTATCTTGAGAAACAGTAGGCTGGACAAGGAGCCGCATTAGCAATTCGATGCCGTGTTGCACTAGGCTTTGTTCTCAGTAACTTCTCATCATCCATGCATATTTAAGTATTCTTTATGCTCTAGATTTTCTACTTTCTGCCTCTATTATACTGATAGTCAGTGGCCAGTACACTCAAGGATATCCAGCTCCTTTCCTGCCAATCACCTTCCTTTCTGTGAGGTCCCAAAATGGAAAACACACAAGGAATTGGAGAGAAAGTCTTGTTTATTATTAGTAGTAATAATTGGTCCATCGATGAACTCTCAAAATGCTATGTTAGACCTTTGGCTAATATAGCTAATAAATGCTATATTAGGCCTCCACTTAGGATGTGCTCTAGCAGGCAGCACGGCACAGGAACCTATAGCAACGTGACGGTGTGCCTGCAGAGCCCAGGTGCAAGATAATGTAGGAAGAGAGGAGGGGAAGGGAGAGAGAGAAGCTGAGCATCCTCCATAGGCAGATGGCGTAGTGGATTTTAGAACACAGGCTTTAGAACACCCAGATCTGGATTTGAATTCTGGCTCTTTCACTTCTGTGTAATTTTGGGCAAGCGATTTAACCTCGCTAAACCTCAGTTTCTTTGTTTGTAAGGCAATATCTACCTCAAAAGTTAATGTGAGTGGGTATTGATTAAATTGACACATGGACAATACCTAACTTTGTGCTTGGCATGTAGTTAGTGCCTACGGGCACCAGCTATGTATAATAATAGCTTTATTATTATTGTAATACAAGATAAAATTAATATAAAAATGGTGACTTTTTTTTTCAAATTTCCTTCAGAAAGCAAGTAGAATAAGGGAAGTTATATTAAATCCAAACTTGACAATTTGGCTCCATTAGGTAAGCACAAAAACAGGTTTAACGCCTGTTTCCCAGAACAATGGTGAGCTCTTCTCCTAGTTTTTTTTTTTATCTATTTATTATCTAATTAAAAAAGAGGATTATTATCCCAGTGAGGGGGTTGTGGTCTTCAGTGGCAGAACTGCAGTGTACAGCTAGGCCTTTTGACTTTCAGTAGATTGGCTTTTCACTCTCTCATGTTGCCTTCTGAGTAGATCACTTGAAAGACTGAGAAGTGGTAGAAAATGAGGCCTGTGATTATCTGAATTGCCTTAATTACGCCATCACTGCTCACATGAATTTAGATAACCGGGAGTTGACTGTAGAGTCAGCAGCGTCAGAAGTGGGTAACTGGCATCTCAATTTAATTCTTGCTCCACAAACCATGAATTCTTGTTGATTTGCGAGAAAAAGTTAATAGAAGAGTAAATAAATGGGTTGGCTCACTTAAAAGGTAAGATGAAAACTTTGGAAACTCATGAAATATGTCTGTGGTCTCAGAATTGAGGATAGGAAAGTTTGACTCTCCATTTAACCAGCAAGAAGATTCGAGAGCCAGAGTTCTCCCATTGCTGTGCTGTTTGCAATCCAAAGTGCGGGAAGTTGAAACCAACTTGACCTGAGGCTTGAAGGAGTAGCATCGGAAATAGAACCCGGGCCTCGTGCCTCCCAAGCACCGTGTTCTTTCTGCTATGTGAACTGTGCAGTTTAGTGCTAGAGAAATTGGACTGTATTTTCATTTTAAGAATCTGAGTGGAAAATGTCTAAAATTAACTAATAAATAAAAAAAACTTTTGAAACTTTTTAGTTTTGCTTTTTAGTCCAGTTGTTCTATTTCTGAGTTACTTTTTGCTCATAACCCCCTTTTCAGTAGCATAGCTTTTTTTCCAATACTGGATTTATTTATTGTTCATGATAGTCACCGTGATTCACTGCTATCATCTCTTTTTTAAAGACCATTTAGGACCCTTCTCCCAGGCTACACATGGTATTGTTCCTGAACTAGGAAGAATCATGGTTTTACTTCTTATTTATAGCGTTTTTGTTCTGTCCTAATAACAAATGAAGAAGAATTTGACTCAGAGTTATTAGAAGTATCAGTTTTCTCACAATTGTTGGTGAATTCATTTTAAGGGCAGTAGATCCATTCAGACGACACTTGACAGCACGGGACCAAAGAGATTACAGTTCTAAACTTGGGGTCCAGAACTCCAAGTTCTCTTCCCAGCTCTTTTGCCTCCTAGTTTCTAGGACCTTAAGCAAGTTGTTTACTTTTTCACAGTCTCAGTTTTATCACTTGTAAAATGTGGACAATTTTTTCATCCTGTCTTCCTCATCAAAGTATAGGATGTAAAAATCAAATCATGTGATAGCTGTAAAAATGCCTTGTTATCCCTAAAATTGTATTAAAAAGCTAGGCTGCTATTATGGACTAGGGACATCTGGTTCCGAAGTAGTGCTCCTTCTTGGCCACGTGCTGGGGGAGAGACTTAGGAAATGGAACCCCGTTTTCATCCAGCCATTCCTCCTTCGTTCTCTGCAGGACTTCCTCATGGAAACTTTTATCATGTTTAAGGATCTGATTGGAAAGAATGTCTGTGCCAAAGACTGGATGGTCATGAATATGACTCAGAGCAGGTAAGACTGCCTGTGACGGGCCCAGTGGCATCTGACCATGAGTACAGGTGGCCTTGAACGACACAGGTTTGGAATGCGCAGTTCTATATTCACAGATTTTTCTCAATAAATACATAAATGTATTTTCTCTTTCTTATGGTTTACTTAATAACATTTTCTTTTCCCTAGCTTGCTTTATTGTAATAGTACAGTATGTAATACATAGGACATACAAAATATGTGTTAATTGACTGTTTTCGATAAGGCTTCTACGGATTCCCAACTTCGCGTCGGAAATAGTTTCCGATCCACAGTTGGTTGAATCTACAGATGTGAAACCCAGGGATACAGAGGGCCGACTGTAGTTAAGTTTTGGAAGAATCAAAAGTTATATGCGGACTTTTGACTGTACAGGGGGATCAGCACCCCTAACCCCATGTTGTCCAAGGGTCACTGTGCCTGGGTCTGATAACTAACTTTCGTGAAGTGCTGTTCAATCCTTTGCCTCAGATCCATCATCTGTAAAGTAGGGATCCTCCCGCTTCCAGGATCCTAGCTCATTTTCTGGATTTCACCTGGCCTACTGCGGTTGCTGCAGCTCAGGCTCTCTACTCCCTTCTCTCTGGTCTCCTCATCATTCTCATGTGACTTGTCAGCATCAGCTCTCCATGACCTCTTTTAGTGGCTCCATATGGGCTTCATCCTCCTGACAATCAAGGCCTTTGCAGCCTGGGCCACC